CTGCGGGACTGCGGGACAAACAGCGTCATCAAATCGGCCACGTCATCCACAACGACAGCCTTATAACGGGGTTTAGTGCTTTAAGTAAGGCGAGACGAATGGGCTTGGAAGTGGGCGGCCTTCCTAAGGTCACCGTTTAACACCGATGTATGAACAAAAAATGGGGCGTCGATTTGAGTCTGTGTTCGGATTGATGGCTTCTGAATGACGGATCGTCGCACCAAGTGCACGTGACATGTTGTGTGCCGTCTAAAGTTTTAACACGGATGTCCGAAATTAGACTTTTCTAGAGGTCAAGAATTGACCATCAAAAAAGGTTACGATGTGGGACACCGTCTTTTTTTAGTTCCTGCCCTCGTGCCCTACCCTCGTGAATCATCATACCAAATGAGCATGGAAGCAAGTCGTAAATGATATCGGATATAAATCTATACTCAGGAATTTGAGGTTTGCTCAAGTTCGAGGCCAAAACATGAGATTGACACCTTGGAAATCCGATTCAGTACGATCTATAGCAGACAGGCTTTCGTTTTCACCTAAGACGATGGTTCGCAAAACGTACGTTGGAGCAAAGGAATCGGCATCCCGGGATTTGACATTCGTTTGAGGCGAAAATGAAGGCCGGCCTTGAAACCTCAGTGATCTGGCGTAGCACAATCCAAAAAAAGACAGACTTTCAGAGCCAACGGGTCCAACGATTTGTTAAGCATATTTTGGAACCAGTAGCCAGTAGCTCATATTTTAATGTCTTCCGATCTTAAAATCAGTTGGTGCGATGATTTGCAAATCTCATTCAGGGGTGAGAAGCTGCTGCCTCTGATTTTGGCCTTTTAGAGCCAGGTTGTGGACTGAAAACCATTAGTGTCCGGTACAAGATAGCCTAATGAAAGATGTCCGAGTGCAAAAAAGGACATTCCCGATTTCCACATTTTGTCAAAGTCCTGATATAACCTCGAGAGTTCGGTAATTGGTCAATCATGGTGCGCGAAGCGTGATTTTTTATTCACCCGGCGCAACGATTTGTAAAATAGACCAAAAAATCACCACTAATCACCACTAATAACCTGGAACGTTCAACAAAACAGCTAGAGGCCAAAAAATCACTGTCCCATATGTTGATGTTCTGTCCAGAGCAGGAGATAACTCCTTTCGCGAATTTGGTTGAGAATGAGTAACAGTGGGCAATTTAGATCAATGGTAGGAATCCGTAGTTACGGTGTGGGAACTTGGCATGCGAATATAGAGGCTCCCAAAGATTCCAGATTTTTGGCTTTCAAGACCAAGGAATCGCCCTAGATTTTGAGAGCTTCGGTTCGGGATGATGTCAAGACCGGACACGCGCACAGTATGTCATATTTGCTCAGCATATAGCAACCCAGGTTTTGACCTGACCTCAAGCTCAAAAGGTGATCGCCAGGGTCCACATTTTGACGTCATATTCTACTCGCCCCAACGTTTCTTTTAAGCAAAGAGAGATAGAAGGCTGTCGTTGCTGTTGCCGCAGACGTCACTGATTCGGTGAACACCGCAAAATGCTCCTCGAATCTAACGTGGTGTGGCCTGCTGCTTAGAGTAACGGCAGCGGCAGGGTAGCGCTTAGAGGCTGGTCCGCTATCTCGCTGGTGCGACTCTTAAAACAGCACTTGTTTAACTGCGGTTTTTTAAACTTTTGCCACTTGGATAATTCGTTTCAGTAGTGTTGGCCGGTTGGGGTCAAGCTTCACATTTGGGCCGGTCTCGCGTAATACACGCCTTTGGTCTCCGAGGGTTCGGTCGGCCCCGAGACGTCAGATCGCAGTGAGACGTTATCGGTCGACGGTGGGACTGGCGAGACTTGAACGAAAAGGAGAATGCCGCTCTTGGATGCTAGCCCCTGGTCCCATCGCGACTTTCCTGGTTGCAGTCATACAGGACAGTTCGGTTAGCATCTGGCTTAGTGGACAGATCGGCAAGTGTGTTTGATGTATATGTTCACACTCCATGATGCGCTGCATGATAACATAGATAATGCATCACCAATTTCGACAGCCGTTTTGAAAGGCGTGACATCTTCGTTTGCTGATCTCCGGCTCCCGAATGAGGGGGACCTATCAGGCGCTGCACAGGCTCTGGTCAGGCTTCAAGACACGTACCAGCTCGACACATTTGGTGGGTACACCGCTTCGCACGCACCACGGTGTTGAAGTCGTGCGTATTGTCAGGGACTTGCGGCACTGGCCGCTTGCCGAGACCGGCCGCTGGGATTTTGTCCGCTGGGAAAGCTAGTATTTATAAACAGTGCGGGCGGTGCATCGCTAATTTTAGCACGCTGGGGTACTCGGCTTAAACCAGCTCAGGCCCTAAAATGCTGCGTCTAGGCTGAAGTGCTGACACCAAAACTGGGTCATCTGTGCCAATCATTCCCGTGGCGCCGGACAAAGTAGCTTGAAAGCTCAGGGCGATGTCAAATTGTGTTCTCTTGGAGTGACGGTCATTACACTTCATTCTTAGCTGACTCCCTAGTCCAGTTTTTGTTAATATGACACGTTCTCGTGCTCGGCTCGATGCGACATTAAGGTAGCACGCTATGACACTCGCTGAACCGCCTGGATCTTTGCGAAGTTACTGGAGCGCAGTGTTCGCTGGACTTAGAATCGAGTGGTGCAAAGGGAGAGGGGGAGTAAGCACGTGTGTCAAACACGTCACATATGCGTGTGCGTACATATGTGTATCAAGCATGAAGCACACGGCGTGCCATGGTGCGCAAGAAATGACTTATGACGGTGTCGAAAGTAATGTCACCTGCTGGTGGTGAAAGTTACCCTGATGGGGATCGAACCCAGGACCTTCTGATCGTCGCCTACAGATTTCGCCCGTGGTGAGATTCCCGGGAGCAGTCTGGGCCGAGAGCTGACCGCCTGGGACTGCTTCGTCTTGGGCAGGGAGTGCTACTTCCTTGGAGACTTCGGGTGAGAGCCTCCCCATACCCGTGGGTTAACCAGCCACATCCCTGCACGCACCCCCAATATGGTTAATGCAGTCGTTTGCGCGCCATAAAAGGGACGTGGCGCATACGTCTCGTTTCCTTTTAAAAAAGAAGTTAAAGGAAATATGTCATTATTATTTGATGGTGATCCGAATATGACCTGTTATATGACTTGACATGAGCCACCTGGATTTGGCCTTGCTGTGACCTTGCCGGCACCTTTTTGTGACCTTAAATTGACCTGACTGTGCCCTGGGTTTTGCCTATGACGTGACTGGGACTCTGGTGTTGCCTGAATATAACAAGCCTGTGATATGGCAGTGACCGGACTGACCTAGCTGCGACCTGGCAGTGATATGGCAGTGACCGGACTGACCCAGCTGCGACCTGACAGTGATATGGCAGTGACCGGACTGACCCAGCTGCGACCTGACAGTAATATGACAGTGACGGACTGACCCAGCTGCGACCTGACAGTGATATGACAGTGACCGGACTGACCCAGCTGCGACCTGACAGTGATATGGCAGCGACCGGACTGACCCAGCTGCGACCTGAGTGACATGACCATGACCCGGTCATGCCCTGGCTGCGATCTGACGGCGCCTTCTCCGTCACATGATCATGGCCAGAGCACATTGAAGCCAATGCTTGAACAGCCTGTGCGTGTGATTCGTGAGCGATCGTGATCGCATGATACAGCCCGCCCCGTCCGGACCGTGTCACAACCCCGCCGTGCAGGCACGCCCGACCCTGGCTGGAGGAGGCGTGGCACCGGAGCCAGCGAGAGGCGCTGATTGCCCACTCGCCGCTGGCGACGACGCTGATTGGCGGCCCGCCGCTGTCGCCGGCCCAGCCGCTCGAGTACCTGGCCTTCGCCACCTATCGGCTGGGGGACACGGCGCGCGCGCTGGCCTTAACCCGTGACCTTCTGCAGGTGGACCCCGCCCATAAGGTCGCCCGTGACAACGTGGTAAGTCGTGGAAGACGCGCGGAGGCTGCTGTGATGGCGAGGATGCTCTCACAGTTTGCACATCGTGGTTCGTGTGCAGCAGGGGCGCAGCAGGGGGACGGGGGGGGGGGGGGAGCAGAGGGGGAAGTTGCCCTCCCGTGTGTGAAAGTATGTTTTTGTAGTAGTTGTAGTTGTACCCTCTATATGATGTCGCACTGGGAGGACTGAGGAAGCCCGATTTTCTCCAGGAGACCCTCCGGAAAGCTCTGCACCCACCTCAAAACTCATAGTGCCGTCCATATTTGTAGTACAGAACGCCAAGATGGGCCACTGATTAAGAAAGCAGCGCCTGAATAGTGTTTTGTTGATGGTGGAGGCGTATAAAGGCTGAAAATAGTCGTTGAAAATAATCTGTGAAAGATAACGCTGTTGCTGCGCCCCCCTGTGACGTGGCAGGTGGCCTTTGAAAGGGAGCTGCAAGAGATGAAGAGAAAGGCCGATGTCGCCAAACCAGACTTACCGTCGATGACAACGGATGATGTGGACCACGTGAGCACGGAGCTTTGCGCGCCGAAGGCAGCCTGGTCTTAACCTTCTGATGTATGCCTCCAAATGAAGCGACAATAACATTTTCCAACTACGCTTTGCGGCGAATAGTGGGCAAAGTGTCTATCGGCTACAGGATGCTATTGTGTATTTTGTGCTTTGGGAAAAAGACACACTCGCTTATCCATGTTAACCACTTTACCCTGTATCTTCGCAACGCGTCCTCAAATTTTTCAACATCACCTTTTTATTTCAAACATCGATCCAGTATGTTTACATGTTCGATCATCTTATGGATGACATTAACAGCATAGGTGCACCACTGCTACTCGTCATCAAGCGCCATGACACGCCTTTCCAGAAGTGTATTTTTCGAGATCTTAATGAGCGTTGTTGCTCGTGGCTGCCGTATGTACCGCTGACCGGTGCAGCTGAGGCGCCATGTTCGCTGCAGGTCTCAGAGTCGCTGGCGAACCACTTAGAAACAGAGAACCGGCTGTACCGGGCGTTGTGTCGAGGTCACTTACCGCTGGCACCTAGCGTCCTCAAGCGGCTCAGGTGAGCGCCTCGCATAGTGAGCTCAGGTGAGCGCCTCCTATACTGAGCTCAGATGAGCGCCTGGCATACTGAGCTCAGTGGAGCGCCTGGCTTAGTAAGCTCAGGTAAGCGTCTCGCATAATTAGCTCAGGTGAGCGCCCGGCATAGTGAGCTCAGGTGAGCGTCTCACATGGTGAGCTCAGGTGAGCGCCTCCCATACTGAACTCAGGTGAGCGCCTGACATACCGAGCTGAGGTGAGCGCCTGGCTCAGTGAGCTGAGGTGAGCGCCTCGCATAATTAGCCCAGGTGAGCGCCTTCCATACTGAACTCAGGTGAGCGCCTCGCGTAGTGAGCTCAAGTGAATGCCTGGCTTAGTAAGCCCAGATGAGCGTCTCGCAGTAATCTCAGGTGAGCACCCCACATAATGAGCTCAAGGTGGGCGCCTGGCATAGTGAGCTCAGGTGAGCACCTCACATAGTGAGCTCAAGGTGAGCGTTTGGCATAGTGAGTTCGGGTGAGCGCCTCGCATAGTGAGCTCAGGTGAGCGCCCGGCATAGTAAGATCATGAGCGCCTGGACTGGTGAGATCAGGTGGGCGTCTGGCACAGTGAGCCCAGGTGAGCGTCTCCCACAGCCTCGCCGTCACCGGTCCCGGGCGTGCCGGAACACCGGTAACCGCCGACATGGGCTGCATCACCCCGTATTCTCGCTTCGTATTATCGAAAGGTGGCTTATAAATTGTTTTGCGTGCAATCGAAACCGCTAGAAGTAACCGATTTAGTGAGTTAACCCATGTCATTCGCTTCCTTGTCCCAGCTACGTGCACCTGTTCTGAGACGTTTCAGACGTGTGCGGAGCGCGTGGAGCATCCAGGAGCCGGGTACTCTGTGCTGTATGTGCAGACTTTCCTCCTATCGGTGAGATGTGCTACCAACATTTCCCGGTGTCTACGGCAGGTGCTACTACTCTCACAACGGCGTCGCTTTTCTTCGCCTCCGACCGGTGCCAACAGAGGACCTGTACCTGGACCCACACATCGTCCTCTTCCATGACGTTATGCACGACTCCGAGATCGAGGCCATCAAAAACGTCTCGGCGCCCCTGGTGAACCAGCTGAATGACACTGCACACCTGTACTCCAGGTGTTGGACCATGCATCGAGAGTCCTCGAGCGTCATCTCGATGTGACCGATCTCTGGGGTTGTGGAAAACCATCAATGTTGTCGGCGCGGTCTCCTCAGTTTGTCTTCAGTCGGCGAGCGCACCACAACAGGCACCGTCTGTCTCTGCGTGCATACAATCTAATGCAATTACACTCGCAAGGTGTGTACGTACGTGATCAATTCGCTGCTGGCCGTCACATTGCGCGGCTCAGAGGGCGGAGCGGCACACCCTGACAGCCGGCCAATGACCCAGCTAGTGGGCGCTTCCCCACTGACCCGCTGCCCCCCTCCCCCCCCCCCCCCCCCCGCCGCCAACGGCAGCTGCAGCGGGCTACCATCAGGAACGTCCACACCGGGGAGCTAGAGACGGCAAACTACCGCATCAGCAAGTCGGCCTGGCTCAACAGCCGGCACCACAACGCCGTCACCAGGTCAGTTCCGCGCCAGTAGGTTTGCCGTGCTCACCGGGAGCACCACGACGCCGTCACCAGGATCAGTACCGCGCCAGTAGGTTTGCCGCGTTCACCGGGAGCACCACGACGCCGTCACCAGGATCAGCACCGCGCCAGTAGGTCTACCGTGCTCACCGGGAGCACCACGACGCCGTCACCAGGGTCAGTTCCGCACCAGTAGGTCTGCCGTGCTCACCGGCCAGCACCACGGCGTCGTCACCAGGGTCAGTATTGCATCAGAAGGCCTGCTCTGCTCACCGGCGAGCACCACAGCGTCGTCACCAGGGTCAGTACCTCACCAGTAGGCTTGCCGTGCTTACCAGTCGGTGGCCAGCACCACGGCGGTACTAGCGAGGATGACGTTGCAGTAGTGGGCCGGCCTGCTGTCTGTACGCATTCGTCACCAAAGTTTACAGCGCTCTCCTGGTGCCCAGAGAAGGGCTGAACGGAGGCCCGTACAGAGCCCAGATCAGCGTACGTATGTGCGGATCGGGGGGAGGGGGGGGGGGGGGTGGGGCGGCGGGGGGCCGCGCCAGCCTGTCAGTCAGCTCCCTGCTCCTGTGGTGGGTCAGCTTATCAATCAGCTCTCTGCTCCAGTGGTGGGCCAGCCTGTCAGTCAGCTCCCTGCTCCAGTGGTGGGCCAGCCTGTCAGTCAGCTCCCTGCTCCAGTGGTGGGTCAGCTTGTCAATCAGCTCCCTGCTCCAGTGGTGGGCCAGCTTGTCAATCAGCTCCCTGCTCCAGTGGTGGGCCAGCCTGTCAGTCAGCTCCCTGCTCAGTAGTGGGCCAGCCTGTCAGTCGGCTCCCTGCTCCAGTGGTTGGCCAGCTTGTCAATCAGCTCCCTGCTCCAGTGGTGGGCCAGCCTGTCAAGTCGGCTCTCTGCTCCAGTAGATGGGCCAGCCTGTCAGTCGGCTCCCTGCTCCAGTGGTGGGCCATCCTGTCAGTCGGCTCCTTGCTCCAGTAGTGGGCCAGCCTGTCAGTCGGCTCCTTGCTCCAGTGGTGGGCCAGCTTGTCAATCAGCTCCCTGCTCCAGTGGTGGGCCATCCTGTCAATCAGCTCTCTGCTCCAGTAGTGGGCCATCCTGTCAGTCGGCTCCCTGCTGCAATTGTGGGCCATCCTGTCAGTCGGCTCCCTGCTGCAATTGTGGGCCATCCTGTCAGTCGGCTCCCTGCTCCAGTGGTGGGCCAGCCTGTCAGTCAGCTCCCTGCTCCAGTGGTGGGCCAGCCTGTCAGTCAGCTCCCTGCTCCAGTGGTGGGTCAGCTTGTCAATCAGCTCCCTGCTCCAGTGGTGGGCCAGCTTGTCAATCAGCTCCCTGCTCCAGTGGTGGGCCAGCCTGTCAGTCAGCTCCCTGCTCCAGTAGTGGGCCAGCCTGTCAGTCGGCTCCCTGCTCCAGTGGTGGGCCAGCTTGTCAATCAGCTCCCTGCTCCAGTGGTGGGCCAGCCTGTCAGTCGGCTCCCTGCTCCAGTAGTGGGCCAGCCTGTCAGTCGGCTCCCTGCTCCAGTGGTGGGCCATCCTGTCAGTCGGCTCCTTGCTCCAGTAGTGGGCCAGCCTGTCAGTCGGCTCCTTGCTCCAGTGGTGGGCCAGCTTGTCAATCAGCTCCCTGCTCCAGTGGTGGGCCAGCCTGTCAGTCAGCTCCCTGCTGCAGTGGTGGGCCATCCTGTCAATCAGCTCTCTGCTCCAGTAGTGGGCCATCCTGTCAGTCGGCTCCCTGCTGCAATTGTGGGCCATCCTGTCAGTCGGCTCCCTGCTGCAATTGTGGGCCAGCCTGTCAGTCAGCTCCCTGCTCCAGTAGTAGGCCAGCATAGCGGGAGTCTCTGCTCTTGAAAGCAAATGGCGTAAGGTCGAGAAAGGAAGCAATTCATTGCATATCTTTATTTTGTCGGATCGCATTTTACGAGCTCTGCACAGGAGCCGAGCCTTTGTCAGTGAGACGGTATTCATGCGACATGCGTGTCGCTGTAACTGTATTAACCCTTTTGGTTAATGCTTGCGTTTTCTGTGTAACCTTGCTGGTGGTTTTTGTGGTGAAAACACGTACAGTGCGCGACAGTTCTGACGTTCTGATGTCACCAAAACCTCATCGGCTCTAACCACGACGTCACTGTCTCCAGGTGGAGCGTCGGGTGGCACAACTGACGGGGTTGAGCTTGAACACGGCAGAAGAGCTGCAAGTGGTTAACTACGGCATCGGAGGGCACTATGAGCCACACTCCGACTATACGACAGTATGTACATTATGCTGCAGCATCGAAGGCCATTGTGAGGCATGAGGCACACTTCGGCTTTACCAGAGTATGCGCACTATACTACGTCATCGGGGAACACCATGAGCCATATTTCGGCCATACCAGAGTATGCGTGCTACTGCATCGATGGTCACTGTGAGGCACACTCCAGCTATACCAGAGTATGCACACTATACTATGGCATCGGGAGGTATGATGAGGCATGGGCCACACTTCGGGTATACCAGAGTATTTTGCGCACTACACTACGGCAGCGGAGAAACGTTTCGTTTTGTACCATGAAAATGTCAAAGCATATACACTACGAAATGAAATCGGGGGGGGGGGCGCTTTTACCATGCCAGTATACATACTAATCTCCTACATGGGAACACCACGAACCGCACGACTACACAGATGCACGTGCACTGCACTACTGCATTGGCAGGCACTGCAAACCGTACTGCACTGCACCTACATCAGAATGTGCCAACTAACTGCCGTGCTCAAGGACACTGCGGAACACTCAAGGACTGTCTGTCAGGGTACGTGGGGTGTGCTTTAAGGCTGCAGTGGTGGTTCAACATGCCCCCTCCCCCTCCCCCCGTCTGCCGCGTGTCGAGCAGCAGCCGGCTGTTCTTAGTGGGTCTCACCTCGGCACACGACGCGTCACCGGGTCTGCGTGGGCCCTCGGCGAACCGCACTGTAGGCCCTCGCCAGGGCCGCCAGCGCGGGGCCCGCTGCCCGCCCCCCGGCTCTAGTGTCAGCCACCTGTGATAGCCGATGAGGACAATGCTCTGGGCCCCCCACGCGACTCGTCATGGCCGTTGACCGTGTTGGGTTGGTATCGCGTGGCTGGGGCAGCGTAGATCGTGATACGTTGGCCGGTCTGGTGTACGCTGGCCCTCTTTGGACCGGCGAATTATTGTTTGGAGGAACGCAGGCCCATGTGAGGCTGGGCTGCTTTATTGTTCCCGGTATGTAAGCGTGGTTTATATTTATATTCTATATTTATCTGTTTGGCAGAATAAGGCGATTGCAGAACAGCTCGAGGATGGAAATCGCATTGCAACATTTATTTTCTACGTAAGTATTCAGTAGTGTGGAAATGATGTCGTAGCGTTCGTTGCGATGTTTTTTTTTTTACCTTTTGTTCTCTTTTTGGCATCATGTCGAACAGAAAGAGCATCAACTTCTCACAAGTACAGAAATTCTGGCATACATTGGTCACCACAGAAAAAAGCGCATCAAACGTTGAAAACAACTGCCTTCGATAGAGATACAAGCGAGGACAATTGGAACGCATAAAATGGGCCTCGGTTCGAATTACGCACCATTGTGAACATAATACTGTGTGAAGTGACATCAGCAGAGATGAAGCATTCCCTACCGACGTTATAGCATGCTTCATTGAAACTTTGCCATTAAACACAACCATTACATATATTTTTATATATTATTAAACATTATCATTGAAACCTTTACCATTAAACATCAACCCACATAAATCCGCAGTCAGCGGCATCACACCTGCTGTCGGCCCCTAAACCTCTGTTTTTCGCGGCGGTCGCCAGATGTCGGACGTGGCGGCCGGCGGTGCCACCGTGTTCACGCAGCTGGGCGCGGTGGTGAAGCCTCGGCGTGGTTCAGCCGCCTTCTGGTACAATCTGCATGCGGACGGCAGCGGCGACTGGCGCACCCGGCACGCCGCCTGCCCCGTGCTCGTCGGGTCCAAGTGGGGTACGTGCCGGCCGGCGCTCTTGGTGACGGGCACGGGCGGCCGCGTTGTCAGGGAGTGGCGGAAAGGCAGCAGCAGGAGCGGTGTTTGATCCGCATGGGTAGTATAAGGCTGTAGGACTGGTGGTGGGCCAAGGTGTACGGATGATGTTGGCGGATATTCAAATTGCCGATCGAAGAGGGAGGGAGGGAGGGGAGGGGAGGGGAGGGGAGGGGAGGGGAGGGGGGGGGGGGGTTACCAATCTGACCTGCTCTACTGGTCGCAGACAACAGGCACAATTACGTCATACGCCATCTTCTAGCTAAACCCAGATGATAGCTTCTCCTGACGATAGATACTCTGTTTGTTCAGCTGAACTTACAGCTTTGATGCAACGCTGACAATGGACTTTTCAGGACAGGTGTCATGAAAGATCACCATTTAGTCATCGTTTTGTTTAGCATGTATCGTAATAGTACGTTTAGTAAATATCATAAGTACATAATAATGTTCGATAAGGATAAGGCCATTCGGCAGGTTTAGTCCAGTAGGTAAAAACCCGCGCCGCAATCAAAGATGCTTTGGGTCGAAGACGTTGTAACTGTCTGAACAATAAACTGTGCTCGACTCAGACTTAATCCTAAAAAGGAAAAATGTTGTTCAACAAACAAACTCTGTTTCATTTTTTTAACTATAATCTCGGCTTCGAGCCTAACAAAGCTTGCGGTGGGTGTAAGGCCCACGTTTTAGCAGCTGACTGCCCCTCGGACCGTGTGCAGAGACACAAATCCTTGTGCTGGTTGACTGATGCCACGCCTATGTACTGTTTCAGTGGCAAACAAGTGGTTCCATGAGCATGACAACGAGTTTCGCCGCCCGTGCCGTCTGCAGCCGGACCTCTAACGGGGATGAGCTAAGCTTTAGTTGGCGCATGGCGCCGCGAGTAGTCGATCTTTGGCTCGCCTTTGCCATGTCCTTAATCGTGAGAACGAAATCACGTGACGACAAGTCGAGAAGGAGGTTATCACCTGGCAGCGTTGTCGCAAAGCACTTAAAACCAGATCTTGCGGCAGTGAATGCGACACTGCGCGCAGGCCGGCCTTGTGCCTAGCGACATACCGTAGTGAAATTAAGTGTCATATTTTACCATCTTTCTGCGGATGTTCCATTGTCCACCAGCTGCGAAATGCTGACAAGAGGCAGCACTGTTTGAGCGGACCTGATAGAGCCCTGCCGGAGCGCTGTTGAGCGGACCCGACAGAGCGCCGCAGCGCTGTTGAGCGGACCTGACAGAGCGCCGCAGCGTTGAGCGGACTGACAGAGCGGAGCGTTGTCGAGTGGACCCGACAGAGCGCCGAAGCGCTGTTGAGCGGACCGACAGAGCTGCCGGAGCGCTGTTGAGCGGACCTGACAGAGCGCCGCAGCGCTGTTGAGCGGACCTGACAGAGCGCCGCAGCGCTGTTGAGCGGACCTGACAGAGCGCCGCAGCGCTGTTGAGCGGACCTGACAGAGCGCCGAGCGCTGTGAGCGGACCTGACAGAGCCGCGAGCGCTGTTGAGCGGACCTGACAGAGCCGCCGGAGCGCTGTTGAGCGGACCTGACAGAGCGCCGCAGCGCTGTTGAGCGGACCTGACAGAGCGCCGCAGCGCTGTTGAGCGGACCTGACAGAGCGCCGCAGCGCTGTTGAGCGGACCTGACAGCGCGCGAGCGCTGTTGAGGACCTGACAGAGCGCCGAGCGCTGTTGAGCGGACCTGACAGAGCGCCGCAGCGCTGTTGAGCGGACCTGACAGAGCCTGGGCCGGAGCGCTGTTGAGCGGACCTGACCAGAGCGCCGCAGCGCTGTGTTGAGCGGACCTGACAGAGCCTGCCGCAGCGCTGTTGAGCGGACCTGACAGAGCCTGCCGAGAGCGCTGTTGAGCGGACATCCTGACAGAGCGCCGCAGCGCTGTCGAGCGGACCTGACAGAGCGCCGCAGCGCTGCCAGGAACAGGCGTCCGCCTCAGTTTCCGCGGTCGGCCCCGTTGCCTCCAAGCCAACATTCATCATATACATCCACCGCCAGATGTATTGCTATTAGTATATTACTGCGTGACAGAGAATAAATGAACATGACACCGGTGAGAATAAACGCCTCACGAGTGAGAAGCACGAACTGAATTTCTCTGCATCTTCTAAGGGACAGAGGGAGGGTGTCTGTATGGAACCTGTGGGAGTGCGCCTGTAAGCGGGCCGACTGAGGGCGCCTGTAAGGGGGCCGAGGGAGGGCGCCGGTAAGGGGGCCCAGGGAGGGCGTCTGTAAGGGGACCCAGGGAGGGCGTCTGTAAAGGGACCGACGGAGGGCGTCTGTAAGCGGGCCGACGGAGAACGCCTGTAAGGGGGCCCGCGACGTGCGCCTACAAAGGGGCCGAGGGGGGGGGGGGGCGTGAGATGGCGAGCATCTGTGCGGGCGATGAGGAAGGGTGGGTGAGAGAGGGCGTTGTCAGGCCCTGAGCGACGGGGGTCTGAGCTCCTGCGAGCCGTTGTCGCTGCCGTGGATGACGCGGCTGCCCTCGTCATCCTCGTCCGCCACGCTGAAGTCGACGTCACACCGCGGCGGCGTCATCTCACGTAAGACCAAACTAAGTTACAACACTGGCCATGCCATCTGCGGGACGCCGCAAACACTGCCACGACAGCTATGAGGAGCACATGCAGATTTCACAATACGTGGGCACCACTATAAACACAACGCTGAAAACTCGGCTTGCTGCTCAGCCGCCACGTGACGTTTCTGACATGGCGTAAAACAGTATGATATGGACAGTGAAAATGGCTAAACCCTTTTCCCAAATATGCCTGAATAGAATGGTGCCGCCCTCATCTACCAGTGTCCAGCCATGATAGACCGTAAGGAGGAAAGAGCATTCAAACGGTCCGAAATATCGTATGGCGCTCTACACTGTCATCATAACGCCATTATCATGCCACCGCGTCATTGTTAAAGACTTCAAATGGCGCCAGTTCTATAAATTTTGCCACAATGAAATGGCTTGGCTTTAACTGGATTCAGGTGGGTCATGTGGTAATGTCAGAGGCCAAGGTCGAGGGCCCAGGCTGGCAGGTCCAGTCGTATAATGCGTACATTGTCAAAGGTGATCAATCATTGCTTCACAATTCGTGGGATTCTGTATGCGATTAAGAACATCAACATTTTACTTGCCAGCGGTGCGTCGCAAAAACTATCGAGTATTTTTTGGTGCTTGCCACGTGCGGCATTTAAAGCCCTGGCAAGTGGCCTACGCAGCCGGAGGCAACATGTGGCCGGTGCTGCATGCGAGGCCGCATGGGAGCTATAACAAACATCACATAGTCGACAGCGCCCTTAGATTCACATCAAGCTGAAATGAGGTGTTTGTGCTTCACTTTGCCATAAATGTACACCAGCCTCTTGGAGAAAAATTCAGCAATCATTTGTTTCTTATCGTTAAAGGCATTAAAAATGATCAATTTCATTCTAATTTTGTCAGTTAAATTCAATACAAACCAAATAATGAAAACTAATTCCAAAAACCTGGGTAGTCTTATGAGTCGAATAGGTAAGATTGTGCGCCAGTGGCAAACAGCTGTAAGTTCATATCTAGCATAGCAACCATAGCATTTAATTTATTTCCAAAATGTGTGATGCATATTAAGAGCGGATAAAGTCCTCCATCTTTACCCCACTCCCACCCCACCCCTGTCGTGTCCTGGTCGCCTTGCTTGCCTCCCAGTAAAATTAAGTATACCCTGAGCCCGTCCCCACTTAAAAAACAACAACGTTATTTTGCCTTATGTGGTCGGGGATGTTGAACATCTTGCGCCAAAGGCTGGTGAGAAGGCACTGGCTGTATTGCATCGGACAGGCTCCCAATATATACTGGTCCACACATACCCACTCTCGCATCACTGATGCGTACGCCCTGCGCGCGTGTCTTTGGAAGGCCGTGGAGGGGGACCACCTCCCGGGTGATCATGATGCACATGGGTTGGGCGCGTGGAGCGCCCACGGAGAGACCAGCGGACGCCTTTATCGCTGTGCTGAAACTGCATCGAATTGCGCAACAGGTTTGGCTGACATTCCGACATTTATCGTTTAGATAGATTAAAAGGGTGGTGCTAGCTGACTCATCCATTTAGAAAAGAAGAAGCTGCATTTGGAACCATTGGCGTTGTAGTTTTTTCTTTCACCTGCGGAGCCGAAACGGACATAAGAGGCTTTGAATTTCCAAACGCAAAGCCAATGCTGAGGCATCTATGTGTAATCTTGAGCTCAAAGCCGTAGCCGAATATAGTGTAAAACATTGTTTTGTGAATCCAGAACAACTTTTGCCAGCTGTAGAACCCACATGGAATCACACAACAACAACAGGATTGTGCAGGGTGATCGAGAACTAGTGCAAGGATTACGGATCGAATATTTTTAGACGGCGGTTCTCGTCTTGTGAGTTCATATGTAGGCACGCAACTTTTCGAACAACTAAGTTTCCGACCCTCGTTAGGTGTTAATGGTCCTGAGAATGAATCGCTGGTTTTTTGCTTTAGGCCATGCATACGAGAATACTTTTGTGAAGTAAAGTTACAACTACGCTGGGAAATCACCATGAAAGTGCAAGGCTTGCCGAGATCGGCTAAAAAGCATGGTTCGCCATGCTTTCAACTTGAAGCTTCCACTCCGCTGGACGCCGACATCCCAGGAATGCCTGCACTCTCCCGGCTCCACTCCAACAGTCCCGACCCCCCTGCCCGGTTGACCCAACCCCGACACGCGTCACGCGGTCACGGACCAATCGCCGCGCGCTACGCTGGGCTGCGACCCGGCGCGACGGCCAGGCCGGCCGGCCCAGCATCCAACAAGGGAGCGCACCATCAACACAGACAGCTGCACACAGACAACTGTGCAAACCCGCTACAAAAGAGCCGAAGCCAGCGTTTCATGATGACACGAGGCCACCACTGCAGCCATCATTCAGAAGTCGTGTGCGATGTCGAAATCCAAGAAGAAGCCGAAGTCAGCTCTTTAAAATAACATGAAGGCCGAAGCCGAAGCTAGCCATTCCAAATGCCACGAAGTCAAAGTAGAAACCGAGCCAGTCGTGAAATAATGGTTCCAAGGCCGAAGTCGATACCCAAAGGCATTAAAGAAAACGTGCGGGCTTCACGAAACCGAAATCGAAGCTGTAGCCAGCTTCGTTTCTATACCTCAGCCCAGTGTGTATTTCTTGAAGTTAGTGCACGCAAACTGATTGAAGCCAACAAATCAAAACCTTAAATATTTTGTAAGCTATTCATCATGAATTACTATTTTCTATACTGTACTTGCGATCTAAATGTCGACCATGGGCACCAAAGTAAAACCGATAAGGGTACTGGGTGTTCCGATGACATCTGTCTTGCAGGACTGATCGTGGGAGCCCACACTACACGCCGCTCACGTGATGCAGAGTTTGCGTTATGCGATATGACTAGCGCTATGGCGTATGTACCGATTCGGCAGCGGTGTATAGCTTGTGTTTTCAGAGATTTCATAAATTGGGGCGACCAAAATCTGAGAAAAACCACATCTTTGTGTTAGGCTGATAGCCGGCGTGTTTGAGATTCACTCCGCTTCTGGAGGGGTCCCTCGGATCGAAAATCCCGGATTCATCACCGTAGTAACGGCCAGCATACAATGACCCAAAAATGGTCTGCGTGGTGGTTATTTTTTCTCGCGCTTTTGTAGTCTTTGTGTGATGGTCATTTTTATCGCGCTTTTGTAGTCTTTGTGCGATGGTCATTTTTTCTCGCGCTTTTGTAATAGCCCGGCCTAAAATATTGGGGGTGGGCCCAAGACAGTATCAAGCGAGGGGGGGGGGGGGGGGGGGCAGGGAACCTCACAAAAGAATGCAAAGTGACAGCCGTAATTGCGAGCACGCAGGCTCAAAATTGTGCGATAAAAATTTTTCTCACTTATCGATGCGCTTAAATAATAGATGTTCTCAGTTAAAGACGGGAAAGGCTTTTTAATTTTTGACCTTATTTCGATCCACTCTATTGGACACCTATAAGACCACCACCTTCATTCGTGAAAGGGACCTCGCTGGTAGATATTAGGGGGACATTATCGGTCCCGGTCAAGGACTGAAGGGTCATTCCATCCCAGCGCGGCGCGCCTGCCAGCTGTCATTCTGGTGACACGA